TGTTGTCCTCATCTTTATTGTCATGTTCATGATGTTTCGGCTGTTGTACTCTGGCCTTCTTCAGGTGATTGGAATTTCGAACTGAAACTTTTATTACATCCACAAAGGTAGATTGTCGTCAGGGACACATGGCCCAGTGGATAAAAGCGTTGATTCGGTCCAGTGACTCGAGTTAAAAAGTTGTGAGTTCAATACCTGGCCACAACAGTGGTGAACAAAAATTTGTTAAAAGGAGATAACGGAGACATCCAGAAGAGGTATGGCACATGGAAATAGAACAATCTACTGCTCTAAGGTTACCTCTCTGTGTCTTTTCTATAAATATTTTCATGGTAATTGTTTGGGTAAGATCTTCATTATGGTACCTAGAGTTCATGAATTTAAGCGCAGTACTAGACTGGCATCAAGATCTCATCAATTGACAGTTGAACTGGCTAGATGTAGCCATAACAGTTTCTTTTCTTGTACTTCCTGCTTGTGGAACTCCCTTCCAGCTCCATGCTTTCCAGCCAACTTTAATCTGCAAAAATTTAAATGCAATTGCTATCTACTGTCCTTCTGATTACTCTTTCTCTTTCCACCCATTATTAGTTTCTGTTCCTAATTCCTCCACACCCCATCACCCTTTGTATTTTATTGGTTTTACTGCCTTGCATGGGATGATACCAATTAAAAAAAATATTGCATTAATAATTTTTTGAGGAAAACAATGATTTTTCCAGATACTAGTTCTACTATTTAACCCATAGATGGAGAGAAATGGATTCATATCTTTCCTAAGGTTATTTGCACATAAGTGAATGTAACAGACCCAACCAGAATTTGAACCCAGCTCTCCAATTTCTCATTCTGAGCCACTCTCCATTACACCACCCACACATCCTGATCCAAACAAGAACTTCTAAAATTAAATCAAATATCTTTTACTTTAAAAAGACATTCAAAATCTGTTTTAAAAATAAACTGAAGCAATGTTTAAATGCAGAAGCAGTTAAAGACTGAAGTCTTAATATTGAAATTTCTATCACGTGTCATATTATAAATGTATGTGATTTGACAGCACTAATAACTAATATCATCTCTTTGTGATGATCCTTGCTTAAGGGCAAGATAAAATTCACTTTTACAGCTTGCTAATAAGTTTGTTTTTGTTTTAATATCTTTCATAAACTTTAGGCTGAAAGGATGTTCTTTATATGATACAAGATAATGAATAGTTACAACTGGACAGACAAGTGTTAGAATGTCAGCAGAGATACATGTTTGTTGTGATCTCTTTAAAAAAAGAAGAAAAAGGAAAAAAAAAAAAGAGGCTGTAATTAGAAAGGTAATAAAGTTAAGGAGACAATATAAAAAATATATGTCAAACTGACACACACCATTAAAATAGATTTTTCTATTAAAAAAAAAAAAAAATAAAAAAAAATAAAAAAAAATAAAAATCAGGCACTAATCATTTCCAAATGTTTTGTTTATATTAATCATTTCACCCCAAACAAGGCAATAACGACACTAAGATGCAAGGAGCTGCTGGAAGTGGAAGTGAAGGAAAAGACATTAGAAGGAACAAGAAACCCAATTCTAAACAGGAAACAAGGAATAAACCTCTACTCCTGTTCAAAAAAAAAAAAAAACTTGAAAGGAGTGTGAACCAGATGATAAACAAACCAACCTTTATTTATTCCAACTGAGGGAAAAAATAAAAAAGTAAATAAATAACAAATAAAATTTCAGAATTTAGATGGAGTCATTAGAAGTTGAAGTAGACTTCAGAAGGAACCGGAAACCCAATCCAAAACATGAAACAAGGGATAAATCTCTATTCCTGTTCAAAAGACCAGAAGGGAGTGCAAACCGGATGATAGGCAAACCTTATAGGCAGCACAAAAGATAGCGATGTTAGTCAAATAGTTGAGAAATACATTCCTGAGAAATAGGGGAAGCCCAAGTAATTTAACTATGAAAGCTTAATATCCCTTAAAGTTGACCTTTTGAAAAGAGTCAATTGGCAACAGAAATACTGAAAACACCAAAACACTTACAACTCGTTGGAATTGTTCTTAAAAACAAAATGTTAGTAGAAATGGTACACAAAAAAAAAAAAAAAAAAAAAAAAAGATAAAAAAAGAGATCCCATTTCTTTTCCTTTGTTCCAATCTGAACATACAGAGTAGATAATTAAAGTTTACTTCAAAGAACTACTATAAAAGACACATACACACACACAATATATAACAACAAGTGGTATATATTTTCCTGGCCTTCTCTGTCAATATATACAGCAGCAGTCTCATAGGGCAATTTATGCTAAATTTGGTCTGTTCATCATCTAAGTTTAAACGAGTTGACCTTTTAGTTGTTTCATGATAAAAATGCCAATCACAAATAGAGAAATATGCTTGTCAGTATTTAAGGCTTGTTTTATCAGAGCATTTAGTGTTCAATAAATGTTCAATAAGTTTTTTTTTTTAAGCAATTCACCCTAAGCAAGGTAGGATTGCCACTGGTATGCAAGGGGCTACAGAGAATGGGGAAAGACTATGCATAGTGGGGTAGGGGGAGGAAAGACTAAAAAAAAAGAACAACAGGATGGGGGATCAAGGCAATAAGGTTTATATGGTCATAGATAAATATGATATTTCAACGATATTTCAATAAACTATATCATTATAAATATATCTTAATTCAATAAGTTGATATGTTCATTTAGTGTTCAATAAGTTGATATTTTCATTTAGTGTTCAATAAGTTGATATGTTCATTTAGTGCTCATTTAGTATTCAATATGTTCATTTAGTGCTCAATAAATTGATGTGCTCACTTAGTGTTCAATAAGTTGATGTGCTCATTTAGTGTTCAATAAGTTGATATGTTCATAGCCATGACTTTTAAAGACTACCAAAAGATAAGAGTCATTGAAATGTAGTCATAAAAAATGACAAAGCTAAAAAAAAATATTTCTAAAAGCAGTAATAAATAGAAAAATGAAACTAAAAAGGCAACTTGAGAGCTAATTAAGCATCAGTCAGCATTTTTGTTATTCTCAACTGGTTGTGCTTGACCATCGAGAATGGTTGAGCAATTGGTTAGAGAGATTCCATTTGCAGAATACTTTTTTCTTCTGCTTACTAACAGACTGTCTTTGAAAAAAAAAAAAAATCAATAGAAAATACAAAAAAAAATGAAGTCATTTAAACAAAGAAAAATGGTGACTATTTCAAACTTTGATGCAAAAAAAAAAAAAAAAAAAAAAAGGAAAAGTAATCTTTCTATTTTTAATATTTTTTTTAACTACAATTATTCCCAAAGAATTTCCAATATTCTTAGTACTGAACAGTTATGTAATATCGGTACTCTCTTATAGTCATGAACGCTGGGCAATCTTCTCACAGATGGAGAGACTTGAAACAGGTGGTTCTACAGAAAGATGCTGAGAATATCATGGACTGAAGCTGTGAGCAACAAAGTTTTAGAGAAAATGGAAACAGAAATGACACTTATACTTAGGATCAGAAGAAGAGAGTTGAAATTTCTAGGGCACATCATGAAGAAAGAGGACTTGGAAAAATTGATACTCACAAGACATATTGAAGACAAGAGGTGCAGAGAAAAACAGTGCATAGCTTAATGAACTTGTGTAAATGGAACAGAGATTAAGAGAGAGAATAAAAAAAAAATTTACTAAGAGCTACAAAAGACAGAAAACTGTGGAGAATGCCCTGAAGGAAGACAGCACATAGAAGATCATTTTGGTAGCAGTTTGTTTTCCATTTGGCAAAATTATGCAACATTTCTGTTTTTGAAAATCTTGGAGGTACAAAACTTAATCATTGTATACAGGACAGACACACATTAAAAAAAAAGATATAATAGGAAAAAATATAAAAATGGGAGTAACTATTTTAACAAATGAAAAATAATGGAATTTGCCATTGATTACCATTGGTATTTTAATTCATAACATTGTGTATGTTCTTCATTTGAAAGTAAACAGTGCAAACCATTTCTTAAAATTATAAAAGCTTAGCAAACTGGTTGTTGGATTATCCTAAAATAATCTTATATATTAATAGCCGATATATAATAGCTAATGCCATTGCTGTAAGTTCTGCAGAGGCTGAAGGAAGGTTTTCTGTGATCAACATAATTTATTCTGATAAAAGAAATCATCTTGAAGTTAAAAATGTGGCCTGGTCATAAATTTGATAGGCCTTCCATTGGATCTTTGGGACTGCAGCAATCAAGTTCAAATATGGCTAAGAAACCATAAGACAGCTGATGACACTAGAGTCAAAAAAGCATCATAATACTGAACAGAAATATGATGAGAAGAGAATTTCAATCCGGAAATATCTTAAATAAATGTTTTCTATTAAATTATCAAAATGATTTAATTTCTTTTTGATACTATAAAGTGATTTGTTTCCATTTTCAGATTGAAAAGAAAATAAGTCAAATAGCTTCTTAAGATTATCTGCCTTCATAGAATCGGTTCCTGGAAATTTGGGATACCATTATTGGAAGTATACAATAATAAGAATAATGGAATAACTGTTATTGCATAATCTCAGCTTACCAAGCAAAAGAGTAAGAATCAAAGTATTAAAATACTTGACTGTTTAACTCTGAAAGGAAACCAAAGACAAAGCATTGCAAAGAAGAATTTATTTATTTTGATATACCAAGATGAACAAAGCTCAAGCACCATCCATTCAATTTATTGATTAATGAATTTGTTTTTTTATAGCTTATCAACCCTTTCAGGTTATTTAAAGCCAGGAAGTATTTTTAGATTCTAAGTAGTTTTTTTTTTTATATAATAATGGTTCAGTGATACAATTCTTACTAATTAACCCATAGCCGAGAAGAAGAGGTGGATTCATACCTTTCCTAAGGCTATTTACACATAAGTGAATATAACGAACCCAAAAGGAATTGGAGCTCAGCTCTCCAATTAACAATTCCAAGCCATTATTTAGTACACCAGCTGCACATCCAAGCTTACAGCACCTGGTATTCCCAAAAGGTCACCATCTAGGTACTGACCAGGCTCAACATTGCTTAACTTCGGTGAGCATATGGGAACCAGTGTTTCAATGTGATTTGGCCATAAGCCTCCATTCAATTTAAAAGTAAGTTACACCCATCGATTATCAATAGGCACTTTGAAAATATACACAGCTATAGGGATATTGGATTTTACAAGCATATAAAAGGAAAAATGAGGACAATAGGAAAGCAGAATTAGATAAATAAATGATTTGAATCAGAATAAAGAGCATTTCTCACTAGAAATGAATTTCCTATCTGCTCATGTCCAAAATTTTATGTTACTCGTCAGTCAGTTTTTCAGGGTCACAATGCAGCTCCTTCTTTAGAAAACAAATTGAACTGGTTACGGATTTTTACCAGAAGAGCCATGCCACCTATCTCTTTCTCATGTAGACCGAGAAAAGGCTTCAAATCTGGTCGACTCTACCAAAGGCTAAAACAGAGAGAGCAACAATGGGAAGTTCAAGTGTTATAATAAGCAGGTAAAGTCAATGCGAAGGACTTACAACTGAAATTGTGAGTGCCGATTACTTGAGAAAAACTATTTACATTTCTAACCAAATATTATCTTGAAGCAAATTGCATAGAATTAAGTAAATTGTAACAAATGTCACTTGTCTGTTTTGGTAGCAAAGACCAGAAGATTTGAGAAGATTGGAAGTAAACAGTAGAAATAACAGATTAGCTTTTTTCAGCTACAACTTTTGCAAATTACTTCCTTCAATGTCCTTTTATTTTATACCTTATGACTATTTAAGTATAAAGGAATGGTAATGGTAAGATTAGCCATTTCCTTATAAGGAAACATTTGGCATTCATCAACTGAACAGCTAGCATTACTCTCAGGTGAAATTTATAAAATTTTTCTATTAAAACAATTTTTCAGAAAAATTGGTTTCTTAATTATGTTATCACTCTTTCTACTATTGATAGGGGTTTCCTTCCTAACCTTTTGTTTAAAGTAGTGTGGAAAATGAACATCTTGATTATGTCATTATATATACTTCAAGTTACATGTGCTATCCATTTTAATTGTTGCTGCTGTTGGAAATCTTCAAGTGAGGTAATTTCTGTTATTTTGTAAAGTTCATTGTGATTCTTTAGTGTCAATCTATGAAATCTAACAGGATCATTGATGAACCACAAGTTTCATTCACTAGAGTTCATTTTTAATCATTGAACTTAGAAAACAGTTGTATATAACTGATAATTTAAACATTTCTGAACAATATTTGTCTATATGTCTGAGACATTGTAATTATTTACACTATTTCCATTGTCGTTTTTCAACCTGTCATAACCTCTGGAACCAATTAACAATGTAAGGTAAGGAATACCTGTATATCATGTATGGCATCCAACTTGCTCAGAAATTATTTACACTATTTACATTGTTTGGACTGTTGTCTTCATCCTTGTTACCATATTCACAATGTTTTGGCCATTGTATGCTCCAGCCTTCTTCAGGTGATTGGAATTTCAAACTGAACCCTTTATTTTATCCACCGAGATAGATTGTTCTAGATCCACATGCCATGCCTCTTCCAGATATCCCAGTATCAGTTATTTCTCTTTAACTCAACTCTCCAAGATTTTGAGTCAAGTCATAGTCCTCAAGGACACTTGGCCCAGAGTAATCCAATGACTTGACCCAAAAGTGTTGGGAATTCAATACCTACAGCAGAAGTGAACAAAAACATGGAGAGTTGAGTTAAAGGAAAATAACTGATACTGAAATATCTGGAAGAGGCATGGCATGTGGATCTAGAACAATCTATCCCGGTGGATAGAATAAAGGGTTTGGTTCAAAATTCCAATCACTTGAAAAAGGTCAGAGCATCTAAAATGTCATGATGAAGACAACAGTCCAAACAATGTAAATAGTGTAAATAATTTCTGAACAAGTTGAATGCCAAGCATGATATACAGGTATACTTCACCCTACGTCGTTAAGTGATTCCAGAGGTCACAACTTAAGTTGTTTTTGATCTAAGTCAAAATAACCACACTGTAAACCATAAATAAGCACTCCCCATTGCCTATTACAGTATTTATAATATGTGCGTACAGTATTCTGAATAAAATAATTATATTTCCACCTCATCTTTCAGCGATATAGCCTTACGCTTAGCATTAGCACTGGGACTTTTCTTTGGGGTCATGGGCAAAAATGTATTCAAAATCACAATTGAAATGTAATTGAAAGAACATTAACAGCAGAGCACAGATGCAAACAAGTCTGAATTCAAAATCGTTGTTGGAGCAGAAAACAATGCACGAATGTCGTCTGTCAGCAGGAATTTGAAATAAGAACATCTGCTAAACATTCTTTATTATGCTAATCTTTTTATTTTTGATGATTTTTATATATATATATATATATATGTGTATGTATATAAATATGTGTGTGTGTATATATATATATATATATATATATATATGCATGCAATTTTATTATATATATTATTTATATATATGCGCGGTACGTATTGGAAAGTGCTCAATATCAGTGAGAGAGCTAACATATTTAGTTGGATTGATGTGAGTTTGTCACCCTGGGTTTTACACTATTTGTGATCATCAGACACACTTTGACAATCACAAATAGCGTGAAACCCAGGTTCACAAACTCATATCAATCCAACTAAATATATATATATATATATATATATATAAAATTTTAAAATTTATTTAAATATGATTTTGTGTTTATTGTTATTTTAGTGTTTTGATATTTTTAATAATTTTTAAGAGTCAATGTAAACTTGAATAAAACGACATAAGGCGAGTTTTATTTTTCCATACAATACTTAAGAAAAAAATGACGTATCTTAGAAAATGACTTAACTTGAAATGACTTAAGCCGAGGTATCACTGTATAATAATTCTTTTGCTGATATAATATAGACAGTGAGACAGTGATCTAGGATTGTCTTCATTCCAAACCAAGTAGATATACCATTTGTCTTATAGTCAGCTTTGCACTTATAATAATTTAATCATCTAAAATGTCTTAATATCAAGAATTGACAAAGAATGACATTTCCTTAAATTTCTGCTTTGTACTAACAGAAAAGTAACTTCATCTCTTCATAAATTTGAGTAATTCTGATCCTCCACAATTTCCTCTACTCTGTAATGAATAACTGATATTCTAAATTTGAAAATAGGCTACAGAGAGGTTAGTCTTAAAAACTATAAACTTTTGTTCTGCGAGTCTGGGACTTCAAGATACATTCTGGCAGCATCTTCAGAAAATTTATAATCCTGGGTATGACAATAAACTACATCCCCTGCCTGTTAACTACTTTGCATTTTTCAGGGATCATTTCTCTGACTTTCATCATTACTTTTGAGCCAGATCCAAGGCTTCTCAGTTGCTGCTTGGATAACATTTAGGGTTCCACTTAAAATTCTCTGCTTGATTCCAGTGAATACTAGCCATCGCCACAAACGTGTTCCTATGTATTGTCTGCAACCAACCTCAAAAGGAACATGACCCAATATCAAAATCTATTTTAAAGTTTTTGCCAATCAAACTTATAGATTATATTTAAAGTTTTCTTAAGGCAAATTGATATCATTCAATTAAACCACAAAGAAAAAGTGCTTGGTAGATTTATAAAAATTTTAAAAAAGAAGCCTTTACAAACATCAAAAGCAATCATTGTGTTTTTTAAAGACACCTTTTTTATTTGTTCTCTATTATTTGAATATACACAAAGTGGAAAAATTGTGACTCGGGTTTAAATCCCTATTTCTGATAAAGAGTTTTTGGTATTTGTAAATTGTATCCAATTTTCACACTGACTGAACATAATGAAAGCATGCAAAGGAAAGTCAAGAACAATAGACAAAGACTGACAGATGTCCAGATTTGAAAATTGCCAGCTTTCTAATTTCTGAGTGTCATAGGGGATCTACAGGGGAAACAGAGGAAGAATTGGATAATGGCTCAGATTGAGAAATCAGAGGGCCAATTTCAAATCCCAGTCAAGTTAACTGCATTCACTTATGTGCCAATACCCTTGGGAAAGGTAGGAATTCATCTCTTCCTCCTAGTTATGGGTAAGTAGCGGAACAAATTGGGCCTTCTTGCCTTGGCTTGCAACCATTCTAGAAGAAGGAAAAAAAATGAATTCCAACCAACTGCTACCTTGTAGGCCCATCCTCCTTAGGCAAAAACTAGAAGATTTCAAAAACAAATCCACCTCGAATGTCATCGCCAATAAAGGAAGTGACTCCCACCCACTTCAAGCCATGACAGAAAATAATGGATTCCTCGGGCTCAGCACAAAGTTTTGAACGAAACGCAAGGCTGGGACATGGTACGGTGCTGTGGACTTCTGTTTTCAGATCATTTGTCCATGGGTGTATCACACATGACATTCTAGACAAAGGGGTCTACGTTGACAAGTGACAATTTAGATTTTTGTGAAACAAAGAGGTAGAAAACTAAAATTTTATTTGAAAAAAAAAAAAAAAATTCTCCAAAAGTAAATAGTGACAACAAAACGTAAACTCTAAAAATGTTCATGTTTCTTTATGTCCCCCAACACCAAAAAAAAGAAAAATGAGAAAAAGAGTTTTAAAAAGATGGGTTTTTTTCTGGTGACGCCGTTTTTATTTTAACTTTGTTAATGTTTATGGTTTTAAAAAGCAATGATTAGAATTGTAATAAAACCATATGAAAGTGAATTTATACATTTTCTTTATTCTTGGAAATTTACAGCAAAAAATAATCTCCACCATTTATTTATTATATTAATTACTGGAATGTTTGGCAAAACGTCAGATAATTGCCAATTGATTCAAACTTTATAAAATGGTAAATAATAAGAATTTCCTTATAATTGGTTCACATATTTTAATAATTTAGTAAATGTTTTCATATTTATTTCTCTATTGAATTGATAAATGATAAATATTGTATTAGTTTTTATAATTCTTGTAAATAAACAATCTATAGTGTTTAATGTTTGTTGCAAATTCTCAAAAACAAAATGAAAAAAATGTATAACTTCACTTTTTCACATGTTCAAGTTTTATTACAATTTTAA